ATGAGCTAGTTTGTTAAACTTCAAACGACTAAAAGAGTTGCCTTCCCATCTCTACTCTTATAGCTGATACTAATCCACATTTTAATCAATCGTTTTCGCTCATTCCTGACACCAAATAACATTAGACAAAGTCGACGCGATCCCAATTTGTGATGGTCTAGTAGTCCTAATGCTAGTATTTGCATTTCATAGAGTGAAACTACGACTACCAAAACTGAATGCGCAATTAATTGCTTACGGATGCGTTAAGCCATTTTTAATAACAACAGTAGACACTGTATACAAATGAGCTACAATAAGCGAACTAAAGCATTAAGTGACTCCTTTTTTTCGAGCACTCTCTACCTGATTGTTGATTTGCAGATTAATTCGTGCGATGCCAGGTGGTTGAAAAGAAACATCTGCATCTTTATAAAAATTCACATCCTTTTTTGAAACAAATGCTGGACTTTCCTTGGTGAGATTGCCTGACGTGCTGGTTACGAAACATGTGTTTTCCATACCGTAAGATATGAATTTATTGCAGAAATACGTTACGTGGACAACGGTGGGAACACAATCAAAAAGTTATTGGGCGCTGAACTTGAACACCACATCTATTAACTCTAGCACTATTGCAGTATTTAGGTAAAAGAATAAAATGTCACTTTTAAGGCAAATTTGTTTTCTTTTTCTTTTTCACCTGCTACCGTCTGCCATGATGCTAAAGCACGCCTGTTGTACCGAACAATCTGCGCTTCAAATGATCCCATAAACACACTTGTGGGCAAACCTGTGATTTTGACTAAACCATCGTCTACCCACTAACCCCTCAAAAAGGAATAGGAAAAATTACGTATATCGAAACCTTCTAAGGTGGTATAGTACACGATGCTGCAATTCTTGAGTTTTGTAGTAACTTTTTTTAAGTTTGTAGAAAAACCCCAACAAATGCATTATAGCAGCATCTTCGTTGATGAGCTGAATGTATGAATTTGCTCATCAACTACATCTGCGTTTGCAGCAAGAGTAATGCAACTTTTTGCTGACTTACCATTCTGTGCGAGTGCACAAATGTATTTTGGAGAAAAAATCAATCAGTCAAGCTTATAAAGTTACGTTCAAATGCGATACCAATACAATGTAGTGTCATGACAGCTCACCTATAGTTTCCTCCCTCATGCGTGGAAAGTCTCCGCGCCGAATCCACTACACAATTCGGCAAAGAAACGATAACGTCGTTTGGAAGTAGCGATGGTAACCCAGGAGAAGCCGATCTCAAATTGGGCGCGTGTCGTGATGCTGTCGGTGACGAGGACGACGACGAACTTTTCGTCAGTGATATTGAGTCGGTAGAAGCAGCCGACCATGCAACATAAGTGTTATGTTGATTAGGATTCTGAAAGCAAAAGAACTGCTTCAATTTCAAACCGCAGTCATTTTTGAAGCAAAGAGACAAAGCAACTCACTGAATTAGAACGTATAAGGAATGGATCTACTGTTTTTGTTTTTGCACCGCCACCTAAACATATAGCATTTCATTGGCTCACAATTTAAGATATAGAGGAAATAGCTAGAACACATTTCGAGAAAATGATTGGTTGATTGAACAACGCTATCAAAAGCAAAAACATTCCTGAAAAGACATGCTTGGTATTTTTTACGATATAGCGCGCCCATGATTGGAAATCATCGTGATCAAAACTTTATGTCTA